CCCCCAGGACTAAATCTTGATCATAAATCTTGATCATATTGAAATAAGTAATGTATCTTAGTCATTGGAAACCAATATTTTGATTTTTAAAAGTACTAGGATGTTTTTGATTGAAACTCTCAGGACCCCCTATGTCAATGTCTAAACTAATAAGATATTTGTATTTACAGTGTTTGGTGTTTAGACGGTCTCCTGCATTAGTAGACTAGTGGCTCAGTATTTCACTAAGGACATGTCTTCCCCTCTCCATGCTCCAGCCTTAACATTGGCTTTTTGTCAGAATGGTGGCAGTTGGGATGCAGCCATTTAAGATATTCCATAAAATGCAGCAATGATCCAGAGGAAGTTAAAAGGTTATCTCTTACTGTGATCCTCAAATAGATCTGAGAAGTAACACTCTGTTTCTTTAATGGCTTGGTCTGTGCAATGTGAAATGTGGTGGTGAAGATCGCGGATACCTTCTTCCTTGGCCTGCTACTCGCTTTCACTTAAACAGAGGGGCTCGGTCTGACTTGCGTCGTGAGGAGGGCAGCAACCCCGAGATCCTGCTGGCGCACCACTGACTTCATGCTCAGATAGAGTCTCTAGGGCCCTTCGGGAGAGATGCAGGTGTCAGAAAATATTTTTACCCTGAAAATAAATCCTCTGTGTAGATCACTCTCTTTGGAGTGAAATTATCTCTTTGGGGTGAAATTATGAGAGGGCTATAGCCTGGCTGGGGGTACTGGTTTGTTTTTCAGATCTTGAGACTTTTTGCTTCGCTCGAAGATTTGAGTTTTCTGGAAAACAGAACAGACTTACTTCCCTGTCCTCAAATGACAGGGGCAGGGGCAGGGTTAGCATCTCAGTTCAGTGACTTTGCTCACCCTCCCAGATTACTTTTGGTGGGGTGTCTTTGGGGACTGACTGTGTGAATAGTTTTGTGGATGAAGCATTTTCTTGGCAGCTGGCTTTCTTTTTAGACAGCACGGCTCAGGCAGTGACCCTCTGCTCTTGGGAAAGAATTGATCTGGGCTCCACAGAAGACTTTGCTCGTGTCTCTGGATTCCAGCATGTGTGAACCACCAGGATGTGATTACTTTGGTCAGTTTAGACAGTAGCTGTGTACTTCCCCTCAATCTTCTCATTTGTCTTTTTGTTTGATTTACTCGATAAGTAAGCTCAATAAGTATTGCTTTTGGCAGTTATCTGGTACATAAACCAGCAGGCATCCAGAACCAATGTGGAAATATTTCTTCACTTTTTCTTTTTTTTTTAATCCTCACCTGAGGATATTTTTTCAGAGAGAGTGGAGGGGAGAGAGGAAGAGGGAGAGAGAGACACATTGATTAGTTGCCTTCCACACGTGCCCTGACCCGGCCGGGGATCAAGCCTGCAACCAAGGTTCGTGCCCTTGACCGAAATCAAACCTGAGACCCTTCAATCTGCAGGCCAATGCTCTAACCACTGAGAAAAACTGGCTAGGGCCGTTTCTTCATTATTTTACCCGCTATGGTTTTCTAATCTTCCTGACATTGTCAAGCAGGTGCCCTTGAACCTGCTCCTAGGAGCCCACACTTTGGAACCACTCATTTTTCTGTGGCAGTAAATGGGCAGACGGAAGGGGTCCTGCAGCATCCACAGGTCTTCATTCTGGTCCCAGCTCTGTTACTTGACAGTTGGGTAGCTTTGTGCGAGTCTCTTACCATTTCCAGACCTCAGTCTGTAATTTATAAAATAGAGAACTAGATCAGAAGGTCACCAAGAGCCTTCAAGCTGCCAGGATGTCTTCCAGGTGGAGTTCATAACCGCTGGCCTCCTTGCCACCTCTCTGGTTTTCCCCAATCCATCTTCCACAAGACCGCACAAGTGATCTAGTCATGGCCCTTCTCACTCCCACCTAAAAACCTTTGGCTTCCCACGGTGCCAAGAATGCGGGCCACACTTGGCACACCCAGAATCATGGTCCCACCAACCTCTCCAGCGTCATCTCACAGGTGCTCCCCCCCCCCC